GAACCAAAAATACAAATAAATCCGCGACAAAATCCGAAAAGATAGTTTTAGTAAATTAAAAGTTAATTTTATTATGAAAATAATATCTAAATAACTAATGTATTCAAAAACATAGCAGTAACAGTATTATATTTACATATATTTTGTTCTTTTCATTTATCGAACAAATCCTAAGCACGTGACAATTGTCACGCGAAATACGTAATCAAAGTGAAGACAGACAAATCTCTTAAACAAAAATATAATGGGTTTACAATTCTCAAGCTATTTAGTCAGCGCTACTTTTTCTTCTTCTTCTTCTTCTTCTTCAAGTGCCACTCCGACTAGCGAAGGTTGGCAGTCAGCTTCGAATACTCCATCTTGTTCTGCGCGAGGCGAAAGAGCTACTTTTTAGGGCATATTAATTACTGTTATATACGTAGGCTACAATTGTAGTGTAATTAACACGTTAGCATCTTTAAATACTTATCTCTTGTTTAATAAAAAATAATACATAGTTTGTTAATAGATATAAGTATATTTAAATGTTAAAATAATATATATTTTTTTTGTTATCTACACATATAGTAAAAAAGTAACAGCGAAATATATAATATGACTAGCTGACCCGATAAGCGTTGTTCTACCATATAAATTATCAAAGAAATCTAACATAAGATACAAACATACTAAAATCGCGATTAAAAAATGGGGGGTGGGGGTAGGAGGATGAAAAATATTTTGCGACCTTTTCTCATACCTACCAAATATACAAAAATCTTATTAAAACCGGTCGAGCCGTTTTGGAGGATTGCGACACAAGCACCGTAACACGAGATATTTGTATAATAGATTTTTTTTAAATTATGACTTATGTATTGCGTACGTAATATAGACTCTAAAACAAAGGTTTTTGAAATTTTTGTCTGTTTGTCTTATATTAAATATACAAATTTTGTGTGCATTTCACGCTAAAAGTATTGAACGGAACTTAATGAATTTTTGCAATGATATACTCGTATAAATGTAATTCTCATTCCATCGGCAAATAATAACTGGGTTGGTCTATTCTATACAAAAAATTCAATGATACCTATATTATTAGTAGCAGGTGACACAAAAACTATTACTCGTAGCAGTAAGACTAAAAATTAACAAATTTACAATTTAGTGCGGTTTCAGGGAAAATGCAAAATTTAGTTTAAGTGCAAGTCGTTCAACTATACTTAGTATAAACAAAGTCGCAGACAGCTTTATTTGTCTATCTGTTTTCCGATTACTTCTAAACCACGCAACAGATTGTAATACGTTTCTTTTAATAGAAAAAGCAATAAACAAGGAAGATTTGTGTATATAATTTGTAAATATTTTGTAGAAAATGGCTGAACTATGACGGTGTTATTGAAAAAAAAAATGTTTTTGTACGTTTACATGGCTTACGCTGGGTAAACTGTAAGAAGTACATTAAAACAATGTACTAAAAATTATAATTTTTAAAAAGACCTACAAAAAATCCACAATAGCATGTGTCATCTTCAATGGTACTTACTAACAATAACTATTTTATCTATTTAAAACATATCTGGGGACGCACCCGAGCGTAAAATCTAAAAAAAAAACAACAAAATTCTATATTGATCTTATCTTAAAACCAGGTTTAACCTGCGAAAATTCTCCTTTATAAAACTTGCGCACTGGGTTCGTTATAACCATAGCAAGGAAAATATTTGTAGTTTTTGTTCATTTTCATGCTTTTATTCATAAAGTATAGACAGAGATACTCTTAGCTTAGTGACGCCAATTTCCGCTGTGCAATTTCCGTCACAATACCACACAAATATTTAGGTGGAAGAAGGTAACGTCATAACCAGACCTGCCCATTAAATAAATTGAATTTATTCTATCTATATAATTATTGAAAACTTAAAATATACCTATATATATATATATATATATATATATATATATATATATATATATATATATATATATATATATAAAGTATTTTCTTTTGCAAATTATAAATCTCATAAATAAATATTATAAATGCGAAAATTTGTATGTTTATTGCTCTATAACGCCAGAACAGCTGAATGGATCTAAATGAAATTTGGTACAGAGAGAGATTATAGTATGGAATAGCACATAGGTTACTATTTATCCCGGAAAAATGTACGGTTCCCGTGGGATATCCATACCAACTGTAAAAACGGACCAAGTAAATAAATAAATAAATTATTCTTCTAGCAGCAATATCGCTTTATCTAAAGCCGCTGGATACAAACACTAACTTGGAAGATCGCACTTTTACCCTACAGCATTGTTACGGCCAATTTTAAATCGATTACTATTACATCATCGATATAATCATTAATCATTCTTTAGGACGAATATACTTTATCGATGTAAAAATGTTATAGAGTTAAAAGATTACACAATAAAACTAGTCTGTAATTTTCATAAAATATGATAAAATAAGCTCGCATTCGTTGTAAATGCTTATTATCCAAAAAAAAATATGAAAACAGTGAAAAATTAATCGATGTCAGTAGTTTCTCTATTATTATTGCGAAATTCATAAAATTGTAAATAATTATATGCACATATTATCATAAAATTTTCAATAACGATTTACATACAAATTTTATATGTATGTATATATTCAGGCATATTTTATATACTCATTAAGAATACATCAATATTTATTTATGTAAAAGAGACACAAAAGTTGTGACTATAAAATATATATTTTTTTTGTTTTCTAATAGCTTTGATCATTCGATACCTTCACAAATAAACCTGTCCTTGCAACGTATCTATTATGTTTCTTCGTGTTACAGATTATCAAACACGTGAGTGAGACACGTGAAGCCATCGCAATAGGCATAGAGTCGGTTACATAAAGAAACTTAATGTTTATTGGAGCTGGTTTTTGAATTTTAGCTTTACGTAGAAACTCTTCAAATTTAAGAGCGGATTTTTAAAGGATTTTTTGATGTTTATGATTTATTCTTCTGTTACTCAAGGTTTTATTTAGCTCGTTAAATAGAGTTAGGAAAAAATAAGATCATCAGAACTAGATGTATCTAAGTATTGATAAGTTGAGAAAAAACTGTATTTAAATAATAATTTAATGAAAAAAAATACGTATAGACGTACTCTATCACTAGTGTTCTTTTATTACAACAATTTTTCTATAATATTTAGTTTATTTCCTATGAGCATTTTTTTTAAAACCTAATCACGCCTATTTTAAAATTCTTTGTAGATTATTGAGGAAGTTACGAGGAAGGCCAATGCCAAGGCAACAACACTTGCGGTAGTAGCATAATATCTATTTATTCAATGTATAGACGAGTCAACTCTGACATTTTAAGTTATTTTATCGTCAATATAATATTATCTATGCTAATATCATAAATGTCAAAGTGACAGCTTTAACTGGGAGTGAGTGAATCTATTTTGATAAAGTTTGGTTTGTATAGAATACCTTACGGCTTACACAGTGAGAAAAGATATGCCAAATAATGCCTTTTTTTGCCAAATATCATCTCCTAACATCAAAAAAGTGGTGTTGTATTATAAATGACATATATAAATAGATAAATAAAGATTTTAAGTAAAAAAATAATTCGTATTAATATTATAAATGTGAAAGTTTGTGAGTATGGATGTTTGTTGCTCTTTGACGCCAGAACGGTTAAACGGATCTGGATGAAATTTGGCACAGACATAGATTATAGTCTGGAATAACACATAGACTACTTTTTATCCCGAAAAAATATACGGTTCCCGTGGAAAAGGTTTGTCTGTGTTTTCCTAGAGGCGAACCCGAGAGAAGCGAGGTTGAGCCGCTAGTAATGAATAAACTAATAGTATTTTTCTAATAAGTACCTTATGAATCACTTAACTTCATGAAATTTCTTTAAACTAACTGCAACTTCAGTAGTAGAACAAGGAAGTATAGTTGATCCGTGGGCAGAGTTTGTAGGAGCGTAGCGTTCAACAACGCTATCTCGCAAGGCTGACTGCATACGTAAAAAGCAAAAAAAAAAATAAAAATTCATAAATTGCTTTTTGCTTTTAAATTGATTTTAAATTGAATATTTAAAGTTGGCGATAAGGCTTAATATAACATTTTATTTTAAATTTTAAATTATGTAATGTTAAAGCTCACCTTGGTCTAAGCAAGGTTTTTTATATTTAGACTTTTTTAATTGATATTATTGATTGATCTTATTAAAATAAAAATAACAAATGTTCGTATATAAAACAAAAATGCATTTTAATTTTTCGTATGTGAGAAGCCTAACCGACGTGTGACGGTAGGTCCAAGGTTACTTCGTATTTTGTTCCGCGCTATTCGTTCTGACGTAACTAGCAGATGTAGGCGCTCTGTTATCACGGCGCATAGATACCGTAGCTGCCATGTTACAGATATTAATTGAGTTGCTGAATAATCCTTCAAGGGCTACTCTAATTCAACTGGAAGCATTGGTTTAAAAATATTAAAATGTTTTTAATATTGTCAGGTTCGAAAATAGTTTTATATCAATAAAGGTATTTATTTACGTATCGAGTTTGCTAGTACGTTCGAGTCGGTCGCGTGAATTGAGATTTTCTATCAACTAACATCACGCAATATATGTGAGTTAGATATTGCCCTACAAAATATGTGGTACTTGATGGGTTTTCATAACTTGTTGTTTTACTTAAGGGTTGCTTTGTTTCTTCATCAAGTATGATGTTTGTATGTATTACCGTTTTACCGACAGGGTAAAAAGCCCGCCTTTATAAGGACCGAGTTACAAAAAGAATGTTCTAATAATATAGATTTTTTGAGTCTTTATTTGTTTTTTTTTATTAATTACAATGTTTATTCTGCCTAATAATATTTATTACGTTATAAAAGATACAGCTATGAATATGACAAACTGTTAGTTGAACAGAGTAATAGTATGATATTTATACTTTAAAATCCTATAACGACCTATTTTAACAATTTATCTCTTTTTTTCCAGGTCGCCAGTTCAAAGCACACAAAGTTATCTTGGCAGCGTGCAGTAAACACTTTCAAGAGTTATTCGACACTGCACCGCCAAGTCATGCAGGAGCTTGCTATGTGTTCCTCGAGGCCACTACGGCTGACAACATGCAAGCCCTTCTTGAGTTCATGTATAAAGGAGAGGTGCATGTCAGTCAAGATGCTCTCTCCAGCTTTCTTAAAAGCGGAGAAAACCTACAGGTATGTTTTTTATCAATTATTTTAATTTTATCGTTTGGAATTCTATGTTTTATATATTTTGTCACAAATACAAACTTAACTAAACTTCAACTTTTTATCCGTAAAACTTATATTTTACAATTAGGATCTAATAATGGCATATTAAATGTTATTTATCATTAAATATTTTATTTTACTTTTCAGGTTAAAGGCCTATCTATGGAAATGTCCAACGACGCGTGGGTGAAGCAACAGACGCAGCAATCAACAGAACGTCATCAGACTCGTGTCAAGACGAGCCCCGTGTCTGGTTCAGGAAGCTGTGATCTCCAAGATTCTGCCCCACCACAGTCGCACACAGCTACGTTCGCACCGATTATGCCCCAGTATGGCATGCCAATACACAGTGGAAGCGGTTCTATGGGTCGATATGCCCCGCCAGCTCATTTACCCATGCATTCGACTTCACATCGCAGACCGCCTCCACCAAAACCATCACCGTCACAGAGTCCGCACGCTAGGAATTACAGGTAAATAGGTTTAGATGACTATGGTATGCATAGAGGATACAGTTATATATAGGGCTTGAAAATAAATATATACAATATTATTACACTAAAACTTATAGATTTCACTAACTATTATTATTTACACAACAGAAAAGTTAGACGTTTCAAAATAGTGGAAAGTTGAAAATAAAATTGACAAAAATCCTCAATTGATTCTTTGCTTCCTTTATTTTCTTATACGCTAGAGATCAAAGTTATTTTATTCGTATATATAATATATAACTAGCGATATACTCTTGTTCAGATGTGTCCCCTATGCTACTCCGGATCATAGTCTATCTGTGTACCAAAGTTCATCCAAATCTGTCCAGCTATTTAAGCGAGATGAAGTAATAAACACACATACACACACACACACACACGAATACATACTTATATATGTATAACAGTTGTTAAATTCAAGGATAGTGAAAAGTTAGTCCCATATTACTATCCCCTGTACACCAAGTTATAGTAAAAATGACATAGATTCTTAATTCAGGCAAAGCTCATCATCTTCACATTGCGGCAGCGTTGCCGACGAGCCAGACACGCGCTCGTCACCCGGCGCCGGCGCGCGGTATGAAGAAACACCCCCCGACACTTCCAGCCACGCCAACCCTGTAAAGAACAACGGATATGACAAAGGCGCCGCGGTTAATGATGGTATGATGGAAAGCCTGTCCAATGACCAGGGGGCTGAAGGTCCGTTTCGTTTTTAAAATTTACAAATAACACCTTCCTATAAGATTTAACGGTGGCAGTTACTAATATTTGGCAGTTATAATTTTATAGTTATCAATTTAACAAACAAAATTTGTTTTTAGTTTATTTTTTTTTATTCAATAATTGGCACTTTTTAATTAATGGAAGCTTAATTATGACTTGTCTAAACAAAAACACTTCTCGTTTCCAGATTTACGGGTGAAGAGCGAGAACGATTATCACGCAAGTGGTTATAACAACTCGCCCCCGCCCGCCGTGTCGATTCCCACAACCAACTATCACGACAAGCCCCATGAGACATCACCTGTACCGCCCAAGCCCAGCCCCGACCTTTGGCCCACGAAACTGATCACGAGCAAATCTGGTGGAATTGCAACTGCTGATGGTAAGTTTTAATTTAAAAAAATAAATAAATGAAATAGTTAATTAATAATAATAAAAATTATATAACTTTGAAAATAATTCATAAAATTATTCTATACATTTTAAATATGTTACAAAATAATGGTATTATTTTATTACGTATTTTTACCAAAGTTTTATCATAAGTCGTAATTGTTTAATGATTTAGGAACGCTTATGTTATAATGAAATAAACAATTTTTTTTAATAAACATAAACAGTGAGCCCGATCGGATCCCATCATTAACAGGAGTTAAAATTAATTACCATATTTCAAACTTCAAAGATGGCGAACTCCTATACAAACTTTTAGAGAATGAATTTCCGGAAATCCTTCCTTAGTTATATAAGGGACTTCCGCAAAATTTCATACTTCATCTATAAATCAGTGGGAGAATTTAAGATTTTAATATTTGAATTCGGGCAAGTTATTATAGCTTATTAAATTTCAAATTCGGATATTTTGACTCGGCTTATAATTACATATTTTTTTTATTGAACGTCTCCAGACTAATATCAGAAAAACTGACGAATCAAACTAAGTATAACTTATTATATCTCCTCCTTTTGGTACAGAATTAAGATAACTAGTGTTAACCCATTGGTCGAAATCGACCATAAACATTATTGAAAATTTGAGTAAAACATATATGAATAGAATTTACCTATCTATATAAAAAAAATGTTTCAATTAAACTTTTTTTGTTAGTAACACTAAAACTCTTCAATACCTACTGAAAAAAAAAACGAAAATCGGTTGACAAATAGAGGAGACAGAAGTATTAAATTGTTTTGTCTTTGCCTATTTATATATAGGTAATTGTAAGAGTGTGCTTCCATATATAAATAAATATTTTGGGACATTAACACACAACACCATCTAGTTCCATGGTAAGCTACGAGGCATGTGTTATGAATACCAGATAGCTTTAAATACATACATATTATAAATATAAACACCCATGACTGAAGTACAAACATTCATGCTCATCACACAAATGAATGCCCCCAGCGGGACTCGAACCCGCGACCGCTGGCACAGAAAGTAGGGTCACTACAAACTGAGCCAAACGTGTATATGTTTGGGCAATTTCAAATAAGGATGCGTATATTACGTGTCATATTCGTCAGTGGGGAAGTATTCTTCATATATATATACATACCCATATGTTAAGAAAAAAACTTGTTCAATTCATACCTTTTTTGTTTCAAAAGGTTTTTTATTACTTAATGAAAGTTATTTCATTAACTAGCGACTCACCTTTGCTTCGCTTGGGTTCGTCCCTAGGTTGCTTCCCCATACAAACTTTCATCCCCATTTTCACCCCTTTAAGGGATGATTTCCGAAATAAAAAAACTACCTTATATCCTATGTAATCGGTTCAGTAGTTTCGGAACTTATTCGGTACAAACAAAAAAATCTTTCCTCTTTATAATATTAGTACCTATAGATTAATACCCTAAAAATTTTGGCTTTCAATAAGAAACTTAAACTAGAGCTCATTTAATTTAGAATAGATTAGAAAAAATATATTATTTACGTTTATATCTAGTGTTCAATAAAAAATTATCTAATTTTGATAATATTTGATTATTTCCTGATTGATATATAATCAACTCGCCCCGAATAGCAGAATAACTATTAAAACATTAGAAAATTTTTTACATAGCTAACACTGGCTAATAACTATTTATATCTATTTAAAACGTACCTAGCGACGAACCCGGGGTGAGCCGCTAGTATATAATACAAACAAACATAGAAATAAAAAAAATATGTGTAGGATAAAAAAATAAAGCTAAAAAAGCGTAAAGCTTATTTAATTTAAAAAAATATATGATTGTAATTGTAAACAAATTCAAAATTTATTTTAACCTTCAATAATGAACATTTTATCCACATCCTTTCATTATTTAAAACTATTCCCAAATAATAAAAACCATTGATGTAAGAAAACATCGTGCACTGCATGTCTGATAACTTAGTTGTTAGTTTTCAAATGAATCTGGTGATGTGCTGTTTGATTATGGGATCCTCCTCGTATTGAGAGTAGGCTCGTGCCTAACCGTGAGACGTTAAAAGGGCTGAACTGTTTTTACATGCTTTTTCTCGTGATTTCTCCCGCGTGGTAGCTACAATGATAACAAATAGTGCCGAGTATAAATCATATCTGTTGAATCACAAAGCTTAGTATTCTATTCTTTTGTTTATCGGCTTCTAGGAGTGCCAATTGGGCACAAATTACTTCGCCAATATCGCCTAGAATGGAGAAAACACATTATATTAAGAATGACTGGTAAAAATAAACTCAGTATAATAATCCATACAGTGGCGATCGTCTATTGATTTTAATGAAAAACTGTCAAATGCAAGGCTTGTCAAAAAATCCTATTTCCACGGCGAAATGTATCGAAGTTAGAACGTTGTAGTTCCATCTCGTGGCAGTTACAGATATATACGTGAGTTTTAAAGCCGTTTCCCAATTGTCATATAATGTATAATGTATGTGTCATATAAAGTATGACAGTACGGTGCGCCTCATCCGCGTTCACTTCCTCTCACGTACCGCACGATCGCTCTCCGTAGACTACTTGCTGTATGGATTAGTTTTATGTGGTTATAACATGAATATCTACATAATATCATACTCACAAAATTTAATACGATTCAAATCAATTTTCTTGTTAATGATTGATTATTACGTCTATGTTACGTAGAATGGAGAAGGCACGAAGGAGATTTAATTTGATTTATTATTATTAACAAAAATCATTTAAAATTACAGGTAAAAAACTAAAGTGTCCATATTGCGAGCGGCTATACGGCTACGAGACGAATCTGCGCGCCCACATCCGCCAACGGCACCAAGGTATCCGCGTGCCCTGCCCGCACTGCTCGCGCACGTTCACGCGCAACAACACTGTGCGCAGGCACATCGCGCGCGAACACCGCCACCAGGTCCACCTCACGCAGGGACCATTACCCAACCATACACAGTAAAACTTTAGATTTACGCGATTATTGACGTTTTAAATAATACTATCTTTTCGGATTTTTCCCAGGATTTATCTAGATTTTTTTGGCAAGCGTTTCGTGATTCACAGCAATGTCAGTCACTAGAAACCATATCAGACTAATCAAGTTATATCCAAAAATTATCCGAAAAGATGATTTTATTTACCAAACACAGTAATTCCTCTATTTTCCTATATTATTCTTCTAACCGAACTACCTCTGCTCTTTCGCACGGATGACCAATGGTGTCGATTTATTTAATGGTTTATCGTTGATAATGTGGTGTTGTTCTCCCCGTTTTATTCTAGCTCAATATTTCGCGTTTTCAATTGACACCAACATACGGATAGGCTGTTGTTGACAGTTTACAGTCAGTTCAAACCATGGTCACCCGTGCCGTATCTTACTCTTGTAACATGCGTACAATAAAAATACCTCGATAATGCATATTTATGTAATAATCTACCTCAGAAATTGATCTTAAGACTTTTTAAGATTTTGGAAACGTGCGATGATTGTTACTTAACTTATTTCATGTGTGACTTCGAATGGTTGCTCATTTCTCTTCTCTATGGCCGGTACCTTGTTTAGAACATATAGTACCTAGCACACCTTTTGCGTTACGTACCTTAATTTGACTGTGAAATAAAGTTACCTTAGACGATTTATTTTGAGCGATATTTTCGGTCGACTCGTAGCTTTTAAATGTAACTGAGCTAGGGAATCTTAGATGTTGAGACTGACGGTCATAGGCTTAGTATGTAAATAATAGGAGAATGATGTATATCGCCTTGGCCTAGGTTGAAACACGCGTTTGACTTCGCATAACTTGTTTCTATAATTATATTATTTTACTCTATTTTCATTAAAGCAATAGACTGTAACATGTTTAAGTTTGTTTGAACACATCTGTGATACAATAGAACAGGCTCTATAATTTTTAGTTTTCGCCACTGTTTTTTTTTAAGTAAATACATGCGAGTGTGAACGCGGGACGCAGTTTTACTGTGAAGTTGAACGGTTTTAGTTTGTACAAAGTACAATTGCCCTAGAAGCGTAAGTAGGTAGGTAAACGTGTTAAAATTATGCATGTAAGGTAAGCGTGATTGAGTCTACCCAACACCGGTCGCACCGCTCGGACGGATGTTAATATTGACACAAAATAATTATATGTTTTTTGCGATGGTGTCGATTTTAGCATTCCGATTTTTTGTTATACATTCTCTTAGTACATTTAGATGAACGCCACTTATTTTATTAGCTAGTCATTTCAAAGTGCAACAGTGAGATTTAAATATTTAATTTGGGTGAGACGGCGGTGTTATTGTATTATAATTGTTGTGGACCCGCCGGCGCTCCACACACGTGTACAGTAGATTCTGGGCTACATTTTTAAGTTGATTTTAAACACAAAGCAAATGGGACAGTGCCAAATAACCTCAGTTTTAGGTTGACATCAATTATTTATTTTTTTATTTTTGTTAAGTGTGAATGTAGCGACTGGGTGTTTCATTCCTGATATTTAGGAATAAGTTGCATTCATATTTATTATATTTATATTTTTAGTGTACATTGATTTTATTTTTTTAATGATTAACGCTTTACAAAGGCAAAGGCTCAGTGATTTATTGTTAACGTAATAGTTTCTGTTTGTTCGTTACGATCGATTTACCTCATTTTATTCGCATTTAAGACTAATTATATATTTTGCGGGTGCGCAGTCCTTTTAGTGTCAGTATGGAACGGAATGTTGTACCTAAACTTTTTAAACCTTTAAGATAATTATTTTTCACAGAAATACAAATTAACTCCTATTCGCTTTATATTTATTATACTATTTCTTGTACAATTCTAAAGATGCTATTTTTACCACGAACAATAATGTTAAGGTATATAACATATACACAGATGGGCAGGCAATTATTTTTTTTATTTTTTTTGTTGTCTTGTCATATATTATCCTCTATTTGTTGATCCTCGGTTTAGAATTTTGAACGGAATTTGGCTTGAACACATTTAAATATCACGAAGATGCGTGTGACCTATCTATAGATAAAAAGCATAATTATAAGGCGGGTTCGGTTTGGATTATGACAGCAGTGCAATTATATCATTGTTGCATTCAAAGAAAGGGAATGTTAGTGGAATCTGGCCCTTTCTAACGATACGTCTTACTTGGAATACCAAATGTTCCAAACGTTTAAAAAATGATGTGTGTTCCAATCGTTCATTGAAAATCGTCTAAAAAATTGACTCTCTTAATAGATATTCTCGATATGAATGTGTGAAAATCTTTATAATACTAAATTTAAACGGCTTAGCCCCTCAAATTTAAACTTTGGTCATTTCCAAAATGAAAGCGATGCCACGAATTTTCGTCGGTTGACTTCTGAATCGGTATATCGGGCGGTGAATTATAATATTTTGTTGGACGAATCCATGATGATTTTTATTATTATGTTTCATATTTTCGGCATTCTTGTTTTAGGTTTATTGTTAAGGCAAGCGTTTCGCTATTTCAATTATAAATTGTTAAAATTATTTTTTACTATATTCGGAAATTAATTAGTATGGATGATTAAGTAGTTATTCTGTTCGTTTCGTTTTCTTATGAATTCAAAATTCATAGATGTGATTTCTTTTGACATTTAATGTTTATTTGTGATACGTAAAAGGGAAATTGCATTAATGCATCACGTTTTAAGCTTTTTCTTTTATTTAATCATGTTTAATTTTAAGGGGTATTGAAGGATTCTCTGGACGTTGACACTAAGGGATCGCCATTATATTATAAACGTTTCCTTCTATATTATAAGGTACAAATTACACTATCATAAGTCAATTTTATCGATTCCGTGTTGTTTTTTTTTAATAGATTTTCCTCGCCATGTACAAATTCACGGAACATTTGAGATACGTCTATGTTAAGTTAACACATTGTTAAATAAATGTAAGCGGACTTGTTACTAATGGTCCCTTATAGATATAATATTGTATTTGATGTGATAAGGAACCAACACTTAGTAGGTGTATTGCAATCTATCCCCTTGACTTAAGTCGGTCTCTCGCGTTTCTGTGACACTGTTTAGATGTGCAAATATGTATAGTTTCAGGCGAATTGCCATTACGATCTATACTCGATGTTACCGACAAAGGATTATTAAAGGAGTTGTGCTCAATTGGGCCAGTGAACGCCCGTTGTGTGGCTTGGATTCTTAAATTTTGACTTTTTTGTTTTAATTTTTTAAATAAAATTTGTTTTGCAAAATCTAATATTATGTTCACTCGTTCAATCGGTATTTACGATTCGTTGCTTACTCCTTTGGGCTCATGAGTTAATTTTATTTTTTATTTTAGTTATTTTTAAGTTTACATGTAAATAAATCGCGATATGTCGTGATGGTAAAGCCAAAGATTGATACGGGTATGGTGACCCTCTGCCGTCACATGGGCTCTGTGGTCGTTTTCCATTCAAATTTTTTGTCATCATCGTCGGTTATCGCTGGTCGAATTTCCGCCCACTAAATATTTCTTGTTGAATGTGAAACACCGCAGGGCCCAATTAGTTTATAAGTTAATCTACCTCGAGTAATGATTTAGCTATAAGTAAGCTTTTACATAGATTTTTATATGATGGAAATAATGTAATTTAGATGTTAAGAGAAAATTAAAAAAGAAAAAAAATTAAAGTACAAATATTACTACCTCAGGATTCAAGTTTAGTCACTCAGAGTTATATGACTGACACCGTCATACATTGAATTAACGTTTGAATATTGTGTAAATTACAAATTTTATTGTAAAAAAAATTTATTGTGACGAAACGTTCGTCGGATAATGTTGTTGCGGTGTTATTGTTCGACGTTCAGTTTCTTTATCATGAGATAACTTAATCGCTAGCGAGCACGTAACAACTAGTAATATGTATGATCACGTAAAATATTATATCTATTTTAAACGCGCTTACACGCTAGCGATTACAGTAATAAATCCATGGTAAGATACAAATTATAAGAGCACGTTAATTGAATCTCTGCAAGGTAGTGGTCTCAACTCGGCGACTGCTCAACGAAAGTCGATGGTATTGGACATTCAAAGTTACCTTAAAACTGGGTTGAGTAAATTAATTAAATAAGTAAGTGTTAATTAGGCTAGATATAAATAATCTCATTGATGTTCTACCTCATTAGCAAAAACGTTGAGAGATCGACCGCGAGTCATTCAGTGTATTTAATTGTACCTTTTTCACTCTCCGGAGTATAAAACATATTATTATATATATTTTTTTTTTTCATAATTTTATTATTATCTACTTTTTCCCAGTTATTTCTTGTGTTGCATAGATGTTACTATGTTTTAAGGAGATAAAAAAAGAAAAATTATTGTTTGTTAGGTTTCTGCGAATTAAAAAAATGTAACAAAAAATATATTTTTTTGTTTTTGTTTTTTTTTCTTTCTGTTTCCTTAATTTCCTTTTGTTTTTTTTTTACTCGACAAGTTACACCCGTCCATCGTGTTTAACATTTACTGTAATTTTAAGTAAATTATTTAAGGAATTGACATTGGTATTCTTATTGTAGTAAGCACGAAACGGACAGGTATTTGTTTAAGAAATAATAGTCATTTGGTGTTTTTTATATTTAAAGGATGCACTATCATGTCGCGGCTCGTTCGCGTATTATATCTACGAATTTGATGAACGTAATAATATAGGTGTTCTCTCGCTACATTTAAGTATAAAAAGTTGGTTGACTCATTTTCTATAAGAGGTATATTAATTAGGTGTTTAACTATGTCTATGCTAATATCCGTTTTTTTAATATGGACTTATTGATTTTTTGAATAGGTGCACAGAGTTGCACTAATTTTCGTCGAAATATTACTTTTTTATGACTAATAAAGTAAAACTCAAACTTTTTACAGTTCTTAGATAACAGAGATGAAGTCAATGATATAGAAAATTATAAATATTATATTGAAAT